GAAGGGCTGTTTTAATTTCTGCTATTTATTGCAAATTGTAGAAAAGTAAACTTTCTCAGGCAAAAACGTTCTCATGTAGTTCTGTAAAAAACACAGACTCTGGGAGAGTTTTGCAAAGATCTTGGAAGCATTCCACTTCCAGGTGATAAGATCATTTCATACAGGACATGTTGGCCCCTTGACACTTCCCAACAACCTGCAAGAAGAAGTGGAGTGCCCTTTAGGCACCAACAGCTTTAGCAAATAAAGTAAGGGGAAATTTTTTGCCAACAGAAATTATGAGAGAGAGGTATGGAAGTATGCAATTGTCTAAACTGATACCACACAACAAGGTTGAGCAAAGGCCTTGAAGGAACAAAATACTGGTAGAAGTGAATTTTGCTGCTTGTGTAAAGCCCTGCTCTCCAAGGAGCACATCAGCTTCCATTGTCACATTCAGACTTTGGTGACTACTGAGTCACAGGGACTGAATGACCCTGGGCAATGGGTATGTTTTTTGTTGACACATGTTTTATCCAAATATTGGCTCTGTACAGTATGATTGGTAAGAAGATGTTATTTTAAAATTCTATGGCTTCCAGAGTCAGCTCTGAACTTTTTATTGCTGATATAAAGGCAAAACCTGCCAATATCCATTTAAGTTGGACCAAGAATGGGGAAAAAAAAAAAAATCATAGGATCACCTTCTTTCTGGGACTGTTTTGTTCTCTTTTCCTACGTCTCCTCTCCATACATGAGGAATATCTAGTGTAAGTGAGCCTATCTTGTCATGTTTTTCATCAAAGGGAATCTGAAAAAGACATCGATTCTCAACAGGGAGGGCTGTTGCTGACCTTCTGTCCTCTCTTCAGGCAGCCTGGCTGCTCTTGCTGCTCCGGTGCTTGGGACAGAGAGGCTGAGCCTTTGGGTTTGCATCTGCAGTGCATGAGATTCACACCTGGGATGCAAATGTCTTCAACAGGAATGAAAAGGAAACGCTTTTCACAGTTTGTCTTTCACAGCAATTTGGGGTAATCTGAGATTTAATTTATTCACCAGTTGAAAAGCGAAGGGAAATCAAGCCAGCATCTTTCTTTCAAGCCAAGGTTTTTCTTGCATAGCCCCGTGCAGGCGCGCACAAAAGAGCTCTGATCACTCTAACTAGGTGCTTGTTCTAATTATAGAAAGATTTAGCGTTGGTTACATAATTGCCCACTGCACATCAGCACACGGCATTGTTATGCTACAAAAGCCTCTTTTTTATTCCCCTCTCTGCAGCAGACCCAGTGTCAGCCTGTTTAACAGAAAGCTGCAAGGAGCAAAACAATTCTGAAGAAACCTCCCATAGCTTTCCCAGGAGAGGCCAGCAAAAACCAGATGCTGACCTGCTTCCTATGCTGGGAGCATTGCCAGCATGTGGGATCTAGCCATCAAAGAGAGGATTGATAGCCCGGGCAGCAGTCTTTTAAGCATCCCGGGTAGAAGCAGTGGGCTGTGGTCAGGAATCGGTGGTTGTGATGAGGTTAGAGTTGCTATTTTTGATTTTTATATGCAATAGCACAGTAGCTTTAAATGGACTCCCCACTATTATGCCCACTATCAGCCTGAGCCATGGAGGCTGTGAATTTGCAAACACAAACATCTATTGCAAAACTTTCATGCTTTAGCAGACACAAGAACAGTAGATCTTTTCCCTGTATTTTTAAGTTTTTTAAATTACGTGATTCAGAGTTGTTACTTCACGTTCAATCTGTATTTATTTCTCATTTCCTCAGCACTACATGAGGTGCACATCTCCCTGACTCTTTCATTTCTTCCTCTTTTCCCTCCAAACCATGAAGCTTCCTTCCAAAAAATAATCTTTCCTACATAATTTGTAATCATCCCAGACTAAGCTGCGATGCTTCACTGCCCCCCATCAGTTCAACAGCTCCCATCTGTCCTAGAAGGGAAAGAAACTTATGGGATTGCAGCCAGTTTAGCCATCATATGGCTGATGCAGCAACTGGCCATGTGGGCCCTGTATCCTCAGTGAGCTAGCAGGGTAATCACCCTTATCTCTGCCCTTCATAATTTGTAGCTGCTTTGTTTCTTAGAGATGATATTTAGCAGCAAGCCCTCACTGTGCAGGCATTGACATTAAGGTCTGCAGCAGAGCACAAGAGAGGAAAACAAAACTGAACTGAAGTCGGACGGAAACAAAAGGGGTACTGTGACAGCTTGACTCTATCTGGATGGCATGTGCCAACCAATGCTGCTCTGTCACTCCCCTCCTCGGCTGGACAGGGAGAGACAATAACAAAAGCCGCATGGGTTGAGATACAGGCAGGGAGAGATCACTCACTAGTTACTGTCAGGGGCAAAACATGGGGACTGGGGAAAATGAAATGAATTTATTTTGTAATTTATTACCAATCAGATCAGAGTAGAATAGTGAGAAAAACCCCAAATTTATAAAACACCTTTCCCAACTCTCCCTTCTTCTTGGCTCAATTTCACTCCCAAGTTTCTCTATTTCCTCTCCACCAGAAGAGCAGGGTGACAGGGAATGGGGGTTGTAGTCAGTTCATCACACACAAATGTATATTGCTGCTCCTTGTATCACAGGGACGGAACACCTCACACTCTTCCCCTGCTCCGTTGTGGGGTCCCTCTCTTGGAGAATCCTCCACAAACTTCTCCAATGTGAGTTCTCCCCATGACCTCCGGCTCCTCATGAACTTCTCCAGCATAGCCTCTCCACAGGGTCAGAAGTCCTGCTAGCAAATCTGCTCCAGTGTGGGCTCCTCTTTTCAGAGGTCCACAGGTCCTGTCAGGTCCTGCTCTAGGGGGTCACAGGGTCACAGCCTCCTTTGGGCATCTACTTGCTCCAGTGTGGGGTCCTCCACACCCTGCAGGTGGGTGTCTGATACACCATGGCCCTCCAAGGGCTGCAGGGCCACAGTTGCCTCATCATGGTCCTCACCACAGGCTGCAGGGGATCTCAGCTCTGGCCCCTGGAGTATTATGACCCTGAGGTTAGCTCAGCTGGTTAGAGAATAGTGCTAATAACACCAAGGTTGTGGGATTGATCCCAATGTGGGCCGTTCACTGAAGAATTGGACTTGATGTCCCTTCTGGGTGCCTTCAGGTGTGATCTGCTGTGATCTGAAAATAGCCACCTCCTACCTCTCCTCCACTGACCTTGGTGTCTTCAAGAGCTGTTTCTCTCACATATTCCCACTCCTTTCTTCTCTGACTGCAATTACTTCTGCACAATAACTTTTCTCTTCTTAACTACGCCAGTGCAGAGGTGCTACCACTGCCACTGACAGGCTCGGCCTTGGCCAGTGGGGGCCTGCCTTGGAGCCATCTGGTGCTGCCCTGTCAGATGTGGGGCATGCTTCTATCAGCTTTCCACAAAAGCAACCCTGTAGCATCCTCCACCCCCCACAACAAAACCTTACCACACAAATCCAATACAGGTACCCATCAAATGTTCCCAATATTATGTTGATCTCTTAGGAAAATATTTTACACACCACTGTCCTACAGCCAGGGAGAAGGTAGTTAAATCACCTGTACAGCACTCTTCCACAGGGATGACAAACCTATTCATCCAGGAAAAGAGACTTGTCATCAGGATGTTTTCTTGAATGCAATGTCATGGTCTCCTGAGCTGGTAGATGGGGACAGGGAGCAGAATAGCCCCCCTGTAATCCAGGAGGAAGCAGTTACTGACTTGCTGAGCCACTTAGATGCTCACAAGTCTATGGGACCAGATGGGATCCATCCTAGGGTGATGAGGGAGCTGGCATATGAGCTTGTGAAGCCTCTCTCCATCATTTACCAACAGTCCTGGCTCTCTGGGGAGTCTCAGATGACTCAAGGTTACCCAATGTTAACCCATCCGTAGGAAGGGCCAAAAGGAGGATCTGGGAAACTACAGGCCTTGCAGCCTGACCTCAGTGCCTGGCAAGTTTATGGAAAAGATTATCTTGAGTAAAATCACACTTGATCCACAGGATGCCCAAGCAATCAGACCCAGCCAGCATGGATTTTGAAGGAGCAGGCCTTGCCTGACCAACCTTATTTCCTTTTAGGACCAGGGGACCAGCCAGGTATATGAGGGGGAGGCTGTGGATCTTGTCTGCCTGGGCTAGTGAAGGCTCTGGAGCACAAGTCCTACGAGGAGTGGCTGAGGGAGCTGTGGGTGTTCAGCCTGGAGAGGAGGAGGCTCAGGGGAGACCTTACCACTGTCTACAACCACCCGAAAGGAGGCTGTAGCCAGGTGAGGGTTGGCAGCTTCTCCCAGACAACCAGCAACAGCACAAGAAGACACAAGCTGTGGAAAGGGAGGTGTAGGCTGGATATTAAGAAGAAGTTTTCACTGAAAGGGTGATTAAATATTGGAATGGGCTGCCCGGGGAGGTAGAGGAGTCACTATCCCTGGAGGTGTTTAAGAAAAGACTGGCACTTAGTACCATGGCCTAATTGACAGAGTAGTGTTAGGTCATAGATTGGACTCAATGATCTTAAAGGTCTTTTCCAACCTAGTTGATTCTGTGAAATAGAATGTGAAATTTAATTTAAGTGTGAAATTTAATTTAAATGTGAATTTTTTTTTTTTTTTTTAAGAGCACAGAAGATGGGTTTCCTGGGAGCCCCACTGACAAAGTGAGATTGCGTTACCTTGCAGTTACCGGAGGGGAGCAGGCAGCAATCCTGCAATCCGGGGTGCGAGCTGCGACTTCCCCGCAGCAAGGACGGAGGCGTCAGCGCAGCCCGGCACCCATGGAAGCGCGGCGCTCCCCCGCTAGTCCCCCGTGGGCTCGCCCAACAGCCGCCCCTTGCAGTCCCACCGCGCGCCCGCCCCTCCGAGCTGCCGTTAAGGGAGACTACGTTTCCCGGCGTGCCGCGCGAGCCAGGGCCGTACCGTGTGCGAGGTGGAGGGGGGAGCGGCGTCGGGCGCGCGCGAGTTGAAGTGCCGGCGAGGCGGTCGGTAAGTGCCGCTCCGAGCGCCGGCGGAGCGCCCGGGCCGTCCCACCCTCACAGCCCTCGCGGCCGCCCCGGCCCGAGCCGGGGGCTCCGGGCCCGGCGGCGAATGCCGCCCGCAGCTGCGGCCCCGGCGGCGGGGACTCGGTTGTCGCAGGGCTTGGCGTGGCCGGGGCTGTTCGTGGAGGCTGGAGCGGCGCGGGGCGCGGAAGCGGCTCCGGGAGACCCGGGCCGGCCTGAAGAAGAACGGAGAGCAGGCGGCGCCGGCCCCTTGCGTCCTTCACGGGCAGATCTCGGGCGCGGCGGCGGACGCGGGCCTGGCGGCCGGAGGGGCCTGGCCGGGGCTTTGAGCGGCGCTGGTCCCGCTGTCCTCGGGGCGGTCAGCGGTCGCCGCCGCTCCCCGGGCCTCGGCAGGTGGCGGTGGGGTCACCTTCGGGGCTGTGACAGGGAACCGGCGCCGTCCCGGCTGCTCCTGCTGGGAACAGGAGAAGCCTAGCTGAACGTGAGGAACACTTAGGTGCGCCAAGTTGTGTGAAAGTCAAAGAAGCCACCTCACTTAGGTGAAAAAAGAGATGGAGGTGATCTATCAAGGCAGGGCTTAATAATGAGAGGCAGTGACATCCCAAGGCTTGTTTTACAGCTGACAGGGCCCTTAAGATATCCCTAGGGGTGTCATAATGGCTCATTTACATGGACAAGGCTCCTCTATACCTTGTGCAAAACTTTGAAATGCAATTTACTTTAGAGAATTCTATTTCTGTACGTCTTATTGGAGAGGTTTTAGTTATTCCCTTTTTATTGCTACAACACGCTAAGCATGAAAGCAGGAACTTTCTTGCTGAAAAATTCATCTTTGCTGCCTGTTTATTTGCTGCCTAAAGTTCCCATCTTCTGTTTGTGACGTGCAGCTGGCGGGTATGGCAATAGATGTGATGTAACAAACTGCAGATTATAGCTTCAGGTAGGAATAAGATGCAAGAACAGATGGACCTGCATCCTGCTTTCAATAAAATGTTCTTTTAGTAGTTGAGAGAGTGAAGGAAAAAATAATGAAAAAGAGAAGCATATTTTCTGTTAAGAAAATGTCACTGCACCTATCACTTTTCAATAAATGAAATTTTACAGGAATATACAAGGAGCACAAATTGTTTAATTAAAATACTTCGCAAAAAAATGACTTTTGAAGATGACAGAGGATACAAGAGATCTCTGTACAAAAAAAGATTGGTCCTGCTGGAAGAAACCCCAAAATTTCTAGAATTCCAGTGAGGCAGGGGAGGGAGGGTGACTTTTTTTTGGTGAAGTGTGTGTACATTTGGCTGCAGTCAAGAGCCCAGGTTTATTTCCTGTTGATCATAGATTCAAAGGAGTCCTGGTCAGCCAGCTACCCATTCTGACAGGAGAAAGAGCAGGGTTGCTGCAGGCAGCTGTGACAGACACTGACAGAGTATGTCTCAGCTTTTCTGCCTCACAATTACTTAGGGTTTGTAAGGAAATAATAAAGTTTAGCTAAGGTTCATGTACAAAGGTCTCTTGTGTTAGATAGCTTATTTTGCTGATTGTGTTCTTGTGAACTGTTTTTGAAAGACTTGACCTATGTCACTGCATGTGTTTTTTGGTTACAAGGCTCCGAGAGGAAAGGCACAAGACAGGCTGACCCTGCTAAAGCTTCACAATGAGAAGCAGGCAAGTTTCTCAGTCAAGCCTAGGAGTGCGAGGATTAGTAGACTCCATCTTAATGGGGTAAGAGCCTGCACTGTGTCAAGGGTGCTCTTGAGAGCTTGCAGAGAAGTGACAATACCTTTTGATTTATGGTAGAAGCAGAAGGAATGGTCAGTCATACTTTCTGCCCAGTACCAGCCATAGGGAAAGGAAAGAAAAATGTACCTAATTCGTTGTTACTTTTTTTCATATCTGGGTCCTCTATGGTGACATAAAGAAATGGAATATATATATATTAACATGGAATGAGGTACATGTTTAAGGTACTTTATATACTGCAAACAATGAAATTAGTGATCCAAAGTCCTTAGTGTGGGAAATGTGTTCATTCCCTACCCTTGTCCCACAGAAAAAAAGTGGTTGAGAAGTGTCTCACCTGAGACCTGTGCTGGGCCTGTGACAGAGCTAGGAATAGGCTGTAGATTCCTGCAGATGACTGTTCTGCCACTACGTTCCCTGTCTGGCACTTGAATGGGATGGTGATCATGAGAAACAAATCTCACTTGGTCACTGATCAGGTCTCCCATCTGCATTCTCTGTGGTTGTCTGGCACTGACTGCTGGAGTGGCATACAACCTCCTGTGATGCCTTACCTCTTCCTAGACCTCTCATCATCAGTGTGGAACTTTTAGAACTAGCCTGGCAGAGTTTCTAACAAGCTTTGGGTGTGCTTGATGCTGTAAGACTCTTTCTAAACCTGGGTTTTTTATATCATCTGTTGTCTCCTTAAAATCTGCCTATGCTGTGATGTCTTCGAAAATTTTTGTTGAAGAAGTGCCTGTTGGTAGGATCAGAATTGACTTTTGGTGATCTCATGCTTCGTTCTGTCTCCACCTGTTGTGTCTCCTTAAAAAGCCTTTGGGATCCTGAACAAATGTTTTGTTGCATTTATGCAAGGTCTATCAGTGAGTTACTTCTGGATTTGTGGTCTGTAGACACTGTTGAGTTAAGAATAGCAGTGAGCAACTTACCCTCAGTTGCTGGGTGGTTGCTTGAGCTCTTGGCTGGGGGCAGTGCTAGCAATGTGTCATTAGGAATGGAGCAATTAAAACTTGGATTGTCAGGTCCTCTGGGGCTGTGGGCATCAGATCACTAAGTCCTTATCAGATGTTACAGTTGCTGTTTTGTATCTTGGCAGGGTTCATCAGTCATGGCACTAAGGGCCTTGAAATTTGCCTCATTGACAGCAGCTGCTTCTGGCATCTATCTGTATGGAAACAAGTTCCTGGATCCTAATGATTTTGGAGTTGTTCGTGTGGGCCGAGCCATTGCCACAGTAAGTTCTACCATAGCAATGTGCAGGAAGATTCCTAGATAGGTAAGGGAATTGAAGTTCACAAGAACTTGGGATTTTCTTCATTCCCTGTCTGCATTTTCAGCTGGCTTAGGAAATCAGAATGTCTGTGGGGAGCTCTTCAAGTTCTTGACACTGTGGGGAGAAAGGAGGTGGAAGAATGTGAAGAATACAGCTGTTATTAGCGCATTTTAGAAAGAGAAAAACGGAGATACTGAGAGCTGTGTCTGTTTCCCTGGAGAGGGTGGGATCTTCAGAGCAAGGGCTCACTTTGGGCCCACATTTCCACCCTTCAAGGTCAGTCACCCAGGTGTGGTGTCCTGCTGCCTTTTAAGAGTGACTTAGGTCAAACCCTCTTCTCTGCATATGCCATTTTTACATTTTGTTATAAGTATCCTGGTTGTGTTGATAAACTAGGGTAACCATTGCACTAGGATCCTTGGTATGAGATTTGGGGAGAGAAGGACTGCTCTTTTGAGGATCATTCTCAAAGCAAGAGTAAAGTGAGGATGGGTGATTACATACTTCCAAGACTGGAGTGATTTCCAGATGTGTAAAATGAATGCCGTGTCTGCCTAGCATCACTGATATTTCTCATAAGACTGGGATTGGAGAGCGCTGCCTTCTCCTTGACAATGTTCACTGATGAATCCATGAACAGCCAGGAACATGGAGAGCAGAGACTCTGGAGGAGGTATCAGTCTCCCCTTACCTCACTTGTATTATACATCTGTCACTTCAGGCCACAATCTCCATCATTTACAGACCCCCAGTGGTAAACAGCTGTCTGTCTGCATTTTCTGTGACTTTTAAGCACTTTGTTAATGAGTTTTACAAGGAGTCGGCTCCTGAGGGCAGATGCAATAAGAAACAAGCTCTGTGGGTTGGCTCAGGTGCTGTGTGTGTGCAGCATCATAAACTGCTGTGAAAAATGGATGTTTATTTTGAAAGGGTGAAGACAGAAATACAAACTGTAATCTTTCCATCTTGCTTTACAAGTGCTAAGCTTCACGCTTTCTCCCTGACCATAAGGTAGTGCTGCCTGGTGGCAGGGAGGAGCCCTTTCCCTTTTAAAGCACAGGAATTTGAGGCATGGAGAGGGAATACAGCTTCTTGTTGCTGGAAGAGAATCTGTTATTCAGGGTGTTTGGGTTCTTCAATGTGTCCTTGAGTTCTGCCTGCTTGACTAGTGTTTCTCAGTCTTTCTTAAGCCACTGTTTTTGTGGTAATCTACTGTTTAAGACAAAAGTAAGTGAGAAGTTCCAGTGATGAGGCTGTGTAGTTGGTCTGTGCTTTGAGTGATGGTAAGAGATTACTTTTCTGAAGAATAGGAAGTAGGGGAAAGGAAATATTCTTTGCTTTAGATGGTGGCAAATCACAGACATGCCTGACTTTCATGTTCTCTGCCTTCAGGGAGGTCACAAGTCATTGGCTATAAAGCGCTTCACTGATCCTGCTCTTAAATGCTTTAGAGGGTTCTGTATCCATAGCTGCAAGCAGTGACCCCAAAACCAAGTTACCAGTTCTCAGTCTTCTGTAGGTGATGGCAGCATGTGTTTAAATCTGGGTGTATACTTTTAAAAAATAATGTTCTGTCTCTTTCTGAATTCTCAGTTTCCTCTGGTATGTATGACTGCATGTGTTTGAGTTGCTTCTGAGAGATTCTTTAGTCTTGCTGCACCAGTGACCTCTGCCTTCCCTGCTCATTTTTGGACAGTCAGAAGTCAGCTCTCTTCTGAGCACAGGTAGCTTGAACTGCTGTCATTCCTTAGCCATGGACCAGGTGAAGCCAATAGAGCAGACATGTTTACCTCTGAGAAACTCAGCTTTGGGATTATTCTTTTTGCAAGTGAAAGATCAATCTCTGTAGCAAACAAGTGATTTTGGATATTGGATATTAGTGACATCTACATAGACCTAAAATATCTGTCCTTCAATCTAGCCCTGCCCTGGCTTCTTACCTGGGTGCTTGATTTCATCATTGAACCATGGTCAGGCAAAAGCAGACTGTAATGAAGAGACTGCAATTCTTAAGAGCTAGTAAGTTCAGCAGCAGCAGACACAAAACTTTAAGACAAGTTACAGTGAGGCAAACAAAACAAAAGCCTGGAGAAAAGAACACATGAGAATCAAGGAACCTGATGTACAGCTATGAGATTCTGGGCAGATTTCATCTGAGTTTGTTTAGAGAGATTTGAGTCTGGTTGTATTTTAAGTGTGTTGGTTCAGTAGTTCTTTGCAGACTCCATAAGACACTTGATGAAGCTCACTAGTGGAAAATTTTTTTTTAAGCCTCTGTTTAGGGAATTGGCTCTTATGTATGGGTAGACAGCTATTCAGGGGGAACATTGTGCTATGACTTGGTAAGATCTGAGGATAGCTTTAGGAGCAGTGGAAGAGTGTATAGTGTTGAGAATTCATTGATACCAAGTGGGATATTTAACACTGGGCCAGATGCAAGCTCAGTGAAAGTAATCTGGCATTTGTAAAGGGAGGGATTGCTTGATTTTGTGTATCTTTTTATAACTCCAAGTTTCAGTCTCACACAGTAACATGAATGACAGCACTAGTCTTGGGTGAGAACGAAGTCAGTGGCGTGGGCAGCATCACGCTGCAGAGCGTTTCTGTATTCTGGTAAAATTAGAAGCTGGCAGAGCTGTTGTGCATTTGCTGTATTCTTTTGAGAGTATACCAGTTGTTTTGGTTATGTGAAAGGAACATTCTGTGCAGTAGCTAGACACTGGGAGGGATTTGGCAATGTCAGAGTTGCCTATCAGGATCATCATAATATTAATTTAGTGTTTAAGATTACAGTGTAATTAACAACCGCTTAATTAATTCCCTCTTCCTCTGTAATGCAGGCCAATCTGTTAGCTGCTTCTTTTTGAGTTGGAGGTGATAATTACCCTTGTGGACCAGAGATAAAATAAGAACCAACTCAAGCCTTGATGCAAGACTGATTCGAACCTCCCTCCACTTCAAAGTTGTTCTTTGAGGTTGTGAAGATGCTTTGAAAAACTTTTCTTCTGTATGGTCTCTGTAGCTGTGCAGCTCCTCAGTTCACCAGGGGCAAGAGAGCCTGAAAAGCCAGAAAAAAAAAATTTGTTGTGTTCAGTTTACAATTTGGAAATCAGGAAAAATGAGAAACTTAACCTCCACAAGGAGGGGATGTGTCTGTTTGTTACTGAATCCCAGCTTGGTCCATTCTTGGATGCATTTCTGAGCTTTTGACTTTTTTTCCCTATTGTCAATTCTGCTGGCTTTGTCTCAAACCATGTTTGCTTCCCTTGCCTCCCTGGCTTTCATGATACATTAACTGCACTTTGTGCCCTTCATGTTTATGGTGAAAGGTAGGGCTAGTATCCTGTGCCAGAATTGAATGCTACCCCTTCAGTAGGGAGATTTGAGGAAAAGTGCCTTTCAATGGGAGTTACACAAATGGTTCTTCACGGCAAGGATCTTGAAGTTCAAATGGCACATCAGTGGACAGGCTCCTCTAGGTGTACGTTCCCTTCTCTCCCTCCAAACATGACCTGTATGTTTCTCTCCCATTCACTGATGTTCTGACTGTGGAAAAGAGGAACTTTAGTGATAGGAATTGTGAAATACCCTAGATCTATTTTCAGAAATCACTGAAGTCACTTAAGAATATAATTCCATTGTCTGTGGCAATGTCTAACAGGCTTGAGCTGGATCCCATTGAGCTGGATCCTGGCTTGGTAATTGCGTATTCAGCCCTTTGGCCCTAGAGTCCTTTGTGCAGTTGAATATGCTCAAAAGTACTGCTGCTTGTGCTAATCTGAGTTTGTCTTCAGTCACTCTGTTCCCTGCTGAGCCTATACACAGCAAGCTGGTTAGGCAGTTTGGAGCTATGAAGTGTGGGATAACTGATGGGGCACAGAGTCTGGATGACCTCTGTTACTACCAGCACACCTTACTGTGGAAGCCCCACACAGCTGACTGAAGATGGGAGTCTGCTGTGCAAGGTGCTGTACAGAGATTAGGAAAATGCTTTGAGCATCTCAAATAGAAGATAGTATAGGAGTGTCAAGTGTTGCTTACATATAGCTACATATCAGTGAGGCCCCTGCACTTACTTTTATAAGTGTTCATTGAAGTTAAATTATTTTCATTTAATTTATTAATGAGTCTTTTGCCATAGGCTTCACTGTGGAGTCTGAACTTCGAAGCCTAAGGTACATGCATTCTCTTTAACAGAAGTCTTATTGTTTTGGTAAGTGTAGAGCTTGCTCAGCATTTCTGGTTTCATTTGCAGACGGCAGTTATCACCTATGACTACCTCACCTCTCTTCGGAGTGTCCCATACGGATCAGAGGAGTATGAATTCCTCAAATCACAGGTAGGTAATAGCACTGAACTGCATTCCTTGGAAACTGCAAGGTACAGGTGTGTTGCTGTAATGCTGTCATCTTAATAATTCAATATGCTTTTATTAGATTGTTAACAGCAATATTAGATAACAATCCATATTAGGACTTGTATTGCCCAATGGAGAAGGTCTTTTGTGAAAGGTAGCCATATGCATTCAGTGCTCACTTAAGTCCAGTAGAGACTCAGGTCCTTGATGTATTCATTTGGGCTCTGCTGCCAGATCTCTGCTGCCCAGACTGGTTGTGTGGTGGTCAGCTGCTGAGAGTGGCCTGGCGGTGCTTTCTTATTCTGCATATTGTTTGGTAATGGCCATAACATGAAGGCTGACTGATTTAGGTAAAGGGAGTGTGTTGAAAAGGAAATAATAGAGATGAATCAAACTTGCAGATCTCTGAGGGAATGAGAATTGTGCAAAGTAGTGTACATCTCATTGTGAAACACACTGTTGTGTTTTGATATCAGTAATTAACAAGTGAGAACGAAGTGAGAACGAAGACAAGTACCCGCACTGCTCCTCTCAAGTCTTGTGCTGCACCTTTCGTTCTGGCCTATCACCCTATAGTTCATTGAGCTGTGAATGACACTTGGTTTTAGTTGAGTGCATGTGATGTATGTTAGCCAGGGTTTCTCTGCTATTTGAGTTCAAGGCCTCTTTGGTGTGGGAAGTACAGCTTGTGCCAGATTAGGCCAGTCTGCATAGTGTGTTTGAAGTAAGGTTTTTAGCCTCATTTTTCTTCTTGGTGCATGTAGGATTCAGGCCGCTGATTATAATGGTTATAATGCATGGTTGGTTATAATGCATGGAGTGGTGCTCTCCAGGGATTCTCAGACTGGAGGGACTATAGAGCTGGAAACAGCCTTGACTAAGGTAGAAATCAGTGATGTTGGACTCCAGCATGCTTTAGTATTTCTCTGGCAGAAAATCCACATCATCAATATGGTCTTAGTGTATCTGGAATGGTTTGCAGAATGGCTTCCTTGGGCTTGTTCTCATCCTCTGCTGTCTAAAGATGCTAAGTTGTTCTAATGTAGCTCTCCATCCCAAGTGAGTGGCACTGATGCTCTGGCATAAAATGGAGATAGGCGTGTTGGCATCTGTAGCTTCACTGCCCATGTCTCTGCCCTGAGCCTTTTTTAACCTGGTTTGCAGAAGGGCTGCATGCAGCTTCCTTGAGTGATACCCAAGTTGTGGAGTTATCAGTACTGTGGACAGCTTATCATTTGGCAGAATTTGTAGCACCTGTTGCAAATTCCTCACCTTTTGCCATGTATCTGCATGGTTTCATTAACCTCTGTTATGTGTGTTTTGATGATTTGTCAGTCCACGCTCCAAGCAGCCAAAAAGGACCCTGTTTGCTAGCATTGCACAGAGCTGTGGCCTCCCTGCTTGGCAGCCAGGACTAGCTGCCAGGACTAGTCAGCCCCTGCATGTGGCAGAGCCAGTGGCAAGCACAGCATGCCAGCACGGCCAGCACTAGCCTTCAGCTGCATAAAGGGCATGAGCTGGGAGATAGGAGGAAGCTGGCACAGGCATAGCATTAGTTGGTGAAACTTGTTGACCAGTGGAGTCTAGTCCTGGTGGACTCCAGACAGATGTTATGGAGTGCCACCACTGAGCCTGGCAGGAACAGCACTTGTGGGTTCTTCAGCAACATCCCTGTAGAGCTTGTGCTAGTGAGGCATCAGTTTGGCATGGGAGATACTTTGGACCTGGGCAATTGCACACCATACTCAGTGCAGTTTTAAGTCTATGGCAACCAAGTCTTTACCACCTTACAGCTCTTTTAACTCTTTGTAGAAGCTGATTTTATTGGTCTTGTACTAGCTCAGAATGACTTGTAAGAAGTTGCCTCACTTGAGTTGGTACTTAAGATTAGTCACTGGATATGGCCTAGAGGATATGAATGCCCTGCCCAAATAAGTGTTGCCCAAATAAGTTTTAACAATACTTACAAGACGTTGCTTCTGCTAGCTTCTGTCCTGGATAGATCTCTAGTACTCTCTGCCCTTCATTGTACTCTCTTTGTTTCTGTCCTTCTAGTGAGGCCAGCTTAATCTGCTTTTCCCATACTGAGAGTTTGTAATTTTCTTGTCAGCATGTGTATGAATTAGCTGCTGACTTCCAGATGCAGTTTTCGTGCTGTGCCTAGAAGAGAGACTCTGTGAGGCAGGGTGTGTCTCTGTGTGTGTGTGTGTGTGTGTGTGTGAGTTTTGGTGACCATGGGACTGCTGATAGTGCCAAAAGTTCTGAATCTGGTTTTTGTGCCTCTGTCTCCAGTGTTCGGGTACAGGTGCATATATGTCTGTGATGTGCTTGCAGCTGGGAGTGGAACACCACTTTTTTCTGTGGATCTCCTCCTGGTACTCAGCATACTGGTGATGCTAGTCCAGTGCAAATAATGCTTAACTTCTTCTGCATGGATTCCCAGTGAGAACTGGGGTCTCTAAATTACCCATGGTCTTGCATGAGGGATCAGAAGGTTCAGTGGCAGCACCAGTGTCTGAGCCTACTGGGGCCAAACAGGAACATAGTCATTAGGAAACAATTAAATGCAAAGCAGATTAAGAAGAAAATGGGTTCCCCAGTGACTTTTATCCAGGTTCCTGTGTAGCTCCAAGGAATTATCTTCAATTTTACTATATATTTCTGTCCCTTGTGGACCAGTTTTGATGCTAATACCCTAAGCCCCTCAGTTCCCAGCATTTTTTTATGGCTAGCAAATGGGCCATACTATGGCCGAAGTTTTACTACTTTTCATGAGGTTGCAAGCAATAGATGGGAATTCACTGTGTATCGTGAGGTTAGTTTGCCACTCCCTGGATCACCTGTCAACTAGGAGATATGAGAACCCACTTGCCAGATGGCACACATTGCTGTCCCTCAGCAACAGCCATTTTTCATTCCTGCCCCTGCCTGAGGCAAAGATGAACCTCCTTATGTGCTTGGGCTTTATGTCCTTCCCGATGGCTGCTTCATTCACCACTGATGGCTCAACCACATTGGAAATTCAATCTTTCTCCTAAGTTAGGGGTCCTTTCCTGGTGTGTGGGCCCTTTTCCTGCATATGGTGGTACTGCCAGTGTACTGATGTCAAGGGCAGTTGTCAGTCACAGAATCAGAATCACAAGGTTGGAAGAGACCTTCAAGATTTCCTAAACTGGGGGACCAGAACTGGACACAGCACTCAAGACACGGCCTCACCAGTGCCAAGCAGAGGGGTACAATGACCTCCCTGCTCCTGCTGGCCACGCTATTCCTGATACAGGCCAGGATGCCGTTGGCCTTCTTGGCCACCAGGGCACACTGCTGGCTCATGTTCAGCCTGCCCCCTCTTGAATAACAGGGGGACTATTCTGTTCCCTGGCACCATCAACCAACCCAGGAGAACAGTTGTCCTGGGGACAAGCCGTCTTCCCACTAAAGACTGAGGCAAAGTCTGCAGTCACTAAGTTCCCTCTCTCATCCAGTAAAGAACAAAGGTTGGTCTTACCCTTCTTTTACCATTAATATAGTTATAAAAACATTTTTTTATTATCCTTTACAGAAGTCGCTATTTTAAGTTCAAACTGAGTTTTGGCCTCCATAATTTTTTCTTACACGCTCTAGCAGCCCCCTTAAATATTTCCTGAGAGACCTGACCCTCCTTCCAAAGATGATACATCCTCCTTTTATTCCTAAGTTCCTTCAAGACCTCCTTGCCCATCCAAGCTGGACATTTACCTCGTTGGCTTGTCTTTTGGCACACAGGAGCAGTTTGTTCCTGTGCCCTCAAGTTCTCTGTTTTGAAGTACGCCCACTTACCCTGGACTCCTTTATTTTTAAGGGCTGCTTCCCAAGAAACTCCCTGAATAAGTTTCCTAAGTACAATTAGCCTCTGAAAGTCCAATGTAAGAGTCTTATTGATGTTCCTCCTCATTTCACCAAATGTTGAGAATTTTATAATTTCACGATCACTCTGCCCCAAGCGGCCTCCAACCACCACATCTCCTACCAACCCATCTCTATTTGAAAACAGCAAGTCTAACATAGTCCTTCCCCTGATCGGCCCACCCACCGGCTGTGACAGAAAGTTGTCCTCAATGCACTCTAAAAATTTCCTGGACTGCCTCTTTTCTGCTTTATTAAGTTCCCAGCAGATGTCTGGTAGGTTGAAGTCACCTACAAGAATAAGGGCTGATGATCCTGAAACAGTACCTAGCTGCTTACAGAATAAGTTGTCCACCTCTTCTACCTGGCTGGGTGGACGATAACAGACTCCCAGTAGGATATCAGCCTTGTTGGCTTTCCCCTTAGTACTTATTCATCAACTCCATCTTCATTAGTTTCAATACCTATGGCATCATGGTTGGCTCCAAGACATCATATGTCAGTGGGTCTAGTGTCAGGAGTATTAGGGGAGGTATGACCTCTCTTCATTTCATGTCTCTTTCATTAAATGATTCTGGACATCTTTGCACATGTAAGCTTGGGCATTTCTTTTCATTTCTGCTCCTGCTATAACTGGGCCAGAGGAAGAAGGAGGGCAGCCTGCTCAGTGCCATTTCCTTACCTATTGTTTTCTTAACAAAACATTTTATTCTATAGAAGGCTACATTTCTCTGACATTCTTCTGCCTCAATCAATGTTGGCCCTTCACAGTGTTTGTCTCCTCAGTACCAAATCAGCCTACCATGGGACATTTCCAGTGGTATTCCTATCAGTGTAGCATCTGGATGTCTTGGCTGACACGTCTTCATTGCTGGCATCAATTTCTGTTGATCCTGCTGTCAGTTAGGAGGTGTGTCACAACATGGAGTTTGTTCAAGGGCTGGTATCAGTGGAATTCTGAGTTGTCAGTGTAGTAAGAGGGTTGCGATGGGTCAGTTGTCTTCCAGATTTTGACATGAGTAGCCACAGTTGAAAATCTTGAGCAGGACATCTTTTTGTTGTTTTCCTCTGTAAGACAAAAGGTTGCTGCTGTGAGTTTT